CCGGGCCTTGCCGGGCCGTGTGCGGGGAGCCGGGCCCTGCCGGGGTGAAGGCCGGAATGGGAAGCGCCGCGGGCGGAGGAGGAAGGGAGGGAGGGAGGGCAGGCAGGCGCGGCTGCCGCCCGGTTCTCGTAGAATGGTTTGGGTTGGGAGGGACCTTGGAGACCATCGGGTTCCAGCCCCATGCAGCCTGTTGTGCCGGCACGAAGGCTCAGCCAGGGAAGGCCGGAGGGAGGGCGGGACACCGGCCGTGTCCCCGGTACATCCCCCGGTGCGGGGGCGGGCGGGGGACGGTGCCCGGCGGTGCTGCAGGGCCCCCCGCGCCGCCCGGCCCTCGTCCCTTCCGTGGTCCCGCGCGTCGGAGCCGGTGCGGGAGCTTCTCCCGCCGCTGTCAGCGGGAAGTGCTGATCCCACAGGGCTCTCGGTGGCTTGGTAAAGGTGTGGGCGTCTGAGGAAAAAATAGCTTTCACGCTGTCAAAAAAATAAATCCCGAACTCCTAACGCACTGGGTGGTAAATGCCGAGAAGTACGGACAGTGATTGTGTCTCTTACCTCAGCGCTATGTCAGATATGCTCACAGAGGTGCCTATCAGACAGCCCTTCAGTGACAGCTGAGTAAGTTTTCTTACCGTGACTCCTTTTCTGCAGTAAACCTATTTTGAACATGGTTCTGGTCATCCAGTTCCATTTTTGGGTAGCGAGGGAACAATATGCAGAAGTGCCAGAAGGTATGGAACAAGCTATGCAGGGGAGTTGACGTGGTGGACACGGTCGTTCCAGTGCAGCTCCTGAAATGCCACTGGTAATTGTTCTGCTACAGGTCCTAAAAATCTCAAAACCTGAAGAGCACCAGCATGGTGCTTCTTAAAAGTATTTACAAGATACGCCAGATGTGCAGTTTTAAACTTCTTTAATTATGTTAACACAAATGAATTCACTATGCTGACGTAAGTCTTAGGTGTTCAACTTTAACATTCAACTGGTTTAAGTGCAGAGTAGCCTCTATTATGAAATTACAGTCAGAGGCTAGTAAAGGTTGCCAGTGTGTGGCGTAACTTTAGAGTTGGAGATTAGTATCTATCGCTCAGGAGACAAAAACCTGATTTGTATTTGTTGTTCTCGTATAGGGACCTGTATTGGAATGCCCCCATTTTACAGTGAAATGTGTACGGGTGTAGGTAGTTCAGCTTAGGTGTTAGTAAAATACTGTTGTGCCTTATCAGATCTCTGACTCTTAAAATCCCTCAAGGACACCTAACAGAAATGTGACCTTTTCAGCTTGTGTATCTTCTGTTGATTATGATCTATAGCCACTGAAGAGAACAAGGTCATCCAGCTCTCCTTCTGATGGAGGAATTGGGGGTTCTGTTTTTCCTGCTTACACCAGTAGGGTTGAAAGACCTTTTCTTACTCTTGTAAAAAGAACGTAGCTTTTGAAGCTTCTGTTTGTTCTGGTGGTGGTGCGCTGTTGATGCCCTCCTATACTGGTCTATTTTAAGACAAAATGTAGTGTTCTTAAAAATCAAATCCATTTAGGGCCCTGAGTACAACTTTTATCATAAAATCATAGAATCTTAGGGGCTGGAAGGGACCTCGAAAGATCATCTAGTCCAACCCCCCTGCCAGAGCAGGGTCACCTAGAGTACATCACACAGGAACACATCCAGGTGGGTTTTGAATGTCTCCAGTGAAGGAGACTCCACACCCTCCCTGGGCAGCCTGTTCCAGTGCTCTGTCACTCTTACAGTAAAAATTTTTTTTCGGATATTCACCTTGAACCTCCTATGCTCCAATTTACACCCATTACCCCTTGTCCTATCACTGGTCATCACTGAGAAAAGCCTAACTCCGTCCCCCTGACACTCACCCCTTACATATTTGTAAACATTGATGAGGTCACCCCTCAGTCTCCTTTTCTCCAAGCTAAAGAGACCCAGCTCCCTCAGCCTTTCCTCATAAGGGAGATGTTCCACTCCCTTCATCATCTTTGTAGCTCTGCGCTGGACTCTTTCAAGCAGTTCCCTGTCCTTCTTGAACTGAGGGGCCCAGAACTGGACACAATACTCCAGATGCAGCCTCACCAAGGCAGAATAGAGGGGGAGAAGAACCTCTCTTGACCGACTAACCACACCCTTTCTAATGCACCCCAGGATGCCATTGGCCTTCTTGGCCACAAGGGCACATTGCTGGCTCATGGTCATCCATGACCAAGTTGGCACTCCTAAGCCTTCTCAAGTTGGGTATCGATAGTTGTACCTTTAAAGGTTATAAGCCTTTCATTCCAAATCAATCAGACCTGAATACAGAAATCATTGCTTAGGGACAGAATTTGTGTATTGGATCAAGTCCTCTATTTCAGAAGATACATGAAGTTCAACAACAAGAGCTATATGGACAGCCTGTCCTGTAGTAGTGGGTCTGTACTGATCCCAGAAGTCTGAGATTATCAAAACTTGATAATGATTTTTTCTTTCATTTATTTGGTGTGTGCTTAGAATTATAGAACTTATATTGGAGTGGACTTCTGGAAGTCATCTAATCCAGCCCTTTTCTCAAAGCAGGGCTACCTTAAGTGTTAGGTCAGGCTGCTTTTCTGGTTGAGTTCTGAAATGGCTCAAGATTCAACAGCCTCTGTGGACAGCTGCCCTGTCATTGTGGGTTTTTTGCACAGCTAATTGGAATGTCACCGGTAGCAATTTGTGGCTATTTCCCCTTGCCCTCATTTCTGTTAGTCTTGGGTTAATAATTCCTTGCTTCTCTCAGAAGATGGGATTTATTAATTTTTTTCCATGTGTGTATCAATACTTTCTTATTGCCATTCCAAGTGTCACTGAATTCTGAAGGAACTTTTGGGAGCTACAAGGATGTCTGGCTACAAGGCCATACTATGCAAGCTAGATCCCAGATTTAGCATTGTCTGAATACTTGCAATTAAATACAATATAGTTACAAATACTGTCTCCTCTTCTTTTCACAGACACCCCTGGGATACAGTGATCAAAGCTGCTATGAGGAAGTATCCCAACCCAATGAATCCATGTGTGGTAGGGGTAGATGTCCTGGACAGAAGCCTTGATAACCAGGGGAGGTTGCACAGTCACCGTCTTCTCAGCACAGAGTGGGGATTGCCAAGTATTGTAAAAGCGGTATGATTTTGCAGACGTAATGGTTTATTAAGGGTGTGGTGCATTTTTATGTCATCATCTGAACTGGAGCTGAATTCATAGCGAGTTTATAGGAATTTATAAGAAATATCGTCCACAAATATAATGTAAGCTGTAAGCAGCATGTGTGGTAGTGAGAATGTGTTGTAGACTTTAATGTGCCTGCAGTGCATGTCTATACATGCCTTCCAGACTGGTCTGTGTCATGTTGTATGACTGACACAACCTACCAGGATGTAGTCTTGCATCACAGTGTTCAGGTATCCATGAATTACTTTGTATTTATTTGGGATAACTAGAAGCTTGACATTTATGCATGTCAGGGTTGTTTTTTTATTTTAGTACCTAACATTCTAAATTTTTTAAATTTTTTTCTTCCCCTTCAGATTTTAGGAACAAGCAGAACTTTGACTTACATCGAGGAACATTCTGTGGTAGATCCAGTGGAAAAAAAGATGGAGCTTTGCTCAACTAATGTGAGTCATAGCTTAAGAAGTTTGTGGTAACTAGTTCTGGAGATGTTTTGTTCTTAACATTTAGATTAGAAATGTATTTGCATCTTTCACCAGGAAGTGGCAGTTTCTGCATCTTAGTTGGCGTCTCAGTTGGCTCTTTTGGTTTTTTGCTCCTTCTTCCCACTCGTAGGACACTTTAAATACTTTGGAATCAAATATTTGTGATTCTGTTTTTAATGTAAGATTATTTCTCAGTATGCACGTAAAATAGTTTAACTTTCAGATTAATAACTTGTTCTACGTTACACTGCCATTTGTAACAAAAGCTTTAATTTGAAATGCCCTTTGTCACAAAATGTAAATGATGTATTTTGCTGTATTTTGGTATCCTGGGAACTTGTAACTATCAGGTTTAAAGTTGAGTTGTCTGTAGGACAGCCTTGTCTCTGTGCAACAGACATCATCTTTTCTGAGTATTAATTTTATGTAGACTCCCAGTACTGTTATGGTGATCTTGGTCTTGAAGAGCCTCTCTGAATTGCATGCCATAAATCAGATAAAACTTAACATTCAGAGAAAACAAATGGAAAGCTGTTTGTGCTTCGCACTGTGAATAGGAACTTAGATCGATATAATTAGATCTAGGATAGGAGAAGATGCATCATCCTTCATTGGTCTTTTTATTGAGTGTATTCTGCATGTTATATTCTGTGTGCTCTGCTTTGTCTCTTGACGTTAAATTGAGTGCTCTGCTACTGAGTAGTGCTGTTGATAACAGAAAAATAAAAGGTGGGAAATGAGGATTTCAGCTCTTTTTCTTTTTAAGATTACTCTCACAAACTTGGTGTCTGTTGATGAGAGACTGGTTTACACACCTCATCCAGAAAACCCTGATAAGTAAGTAAAGATATTTGTGTGCTTCTTTCTGTATAGGAGACATTATGTTAGTCCATTTCAGTTTAGGTATTGACTTTTCTTTATTCTCTTACAGAACTGTGCTAACTCAAGAAGCAATTATTACTGTTAAAGGCATTAGCTTGAGCAGTTATCTGGAAAGCTTAATGGCAAACACAATATCTTCTAATGCCAGAAAGGTACGTTTTTGTTTTGTTTTCTCCCTCTCTTCCTGTCTTCCATCTTTCTTTTTGTTTAATTAGTAATTGTTAATAATTTTAGTTTGAATACTGTATTTAATTACTCTAAATTTTGTGCAGTTTCAATGGATCTTGTTGTAGGACCTCAGCAAGTAAAATATGATTTCCCAAAGTTTTCACTATTAAATCTTTGTTTTTCAACTAGAATTGAATATCAGAACAAATAAATGTCCATGTGTGTGCTACGGTTACACATAGCATACTTGTGTTATTAGTTGGGTTTGCTTCCCAAAGCACTTTTTTAAGCATTAACCTCGTGTTTCCAGGAGTTAGTGCTAGCAGCATATATAACTTCCTTTTCAGCCTTTATAATCTGGATTCAGCAGTTATTGTTAGCATACTTTCTGTGTTGCTTTGTCAGTTGTTCCAGCTTCTATCCATTATTGAGCTATCTCCTTGCCTGTGGCTGAAAGTAAGGGAGTGTAAGCAGCAGCAAAAGTCTTTGAAGAGATTAAACTGTGCTGGCTTTTGTAGGTAACAGTACACCAACTCCTCTGTCTTGTGCTTGCTTTTTCTATTTGGCTTGCAGCCATGGAGCTGCACTTCAGCACAGGCAGAGCTACAGGAGTGCTTGTTCTTGTACACTTTGTCCTGTACTTCTTTGGGGAAGCTGGGAAAGCAATAGAGTTGCTAGAGAAGCATAGGCATCACTGCTTAAAAGCAGATGAGTGTACCTGAAATTTGAGTGTGTGCTCTGCGTTGTTGGAGAGGTTCAGCGCAGTGGGAATGTGGCCCAGGTAACTCCTGCTATGCCAGAGACCCTGTGCTTTGGCCAGCCCTTTGTCCTTGTGAGAGATGTTGCTTGACCAAGGCAGCGTAAACCAGCTTGATAGGAGGTATTGACCAACTAGATCAGAGAGGAGAAAGCTTCCTTTTCCTCCCTTCTCTGTGTTTCTGCAAAAATGAGAGGAGAAGGGATTAAAATCAGGCAATGAGGAAGGAGGAATTATAATTTCTAGACACTGAAGAGTAAATTTAACTAGCTGAGTGCTCTCTGTTTGATTGAAAGTCAGGAGTGTAAATATTTTTTGATACCTATCCAGGTGTTGCCTGTGTGAGAGCTCGGATTTCTTTTAAAGATTTTTCTTCTGCCATTTTCAAGGAACACACTGGCTCTTGCAAATCAAAAGGACATTGTTGTCCTGAAGAGTCTCTTTAGAGATGTTAAACTTGGCAGGAATTGGTACTTGCTGTTACTGGCCCTTTCTTTGCTACCTAGTAGCCTACTCTGCAGTTACCAGGTCTTCTTACATGCTGTGCTGCTGTGTTCTTAGCACCCTTCTTCAGCTTCATGAAGGTTGCTGAAAAATGTTTTGCTGTTCTAAAGAAACAGGAAGTAAGTACTGAGATTTTGCTCTGAGGTAGAGGTGGCAGATGATGTGTTATTATTTTTAATGTTGGAAAAATCATTTGCCATTTGTTATAAATCTTTTCTGTGTTACTCCAGGGGTGGGATGCTATTGAGTGGATAATTCAAAATTCTGAAAGCGCTCTAAGCTAGCAGTTCTCCACATCTACAGTCTGTACTAACTAGTGGTAATGCCAGCATTCTTCTTCTTGGTACAGCATTTCAGCTTTCTAGCAAATACGTGCATGGATTGTCACGTGAATTCCATAAATTAACCTGCATGTATGTTTTTATATACATTGCATACAGGAATGGCAAACGTGTTCATTACACTGCAGGTGTAGAGAGTGCAGAGCAGGGTGAATCAGTGAGCCTGTGCTTGTGCCACTGGCCAGCAAACTTGCTGCAGCTGTGTCTTGTGCCATAGTATTGGTTGTGGTTTGAAAGTGAAATGGTGACTGCAGATAACTAGGCATAAAGGTGAGTCCCTCCACCAAAAGTTTGATCTGGTTTCTGCAATTTCAGTATGTAAAATTGGTACCTGAAGACATTAATTGGTTAGTGACTGGAATTGGCATTACAAAAATGGAAGAGTCGTACACTTAGGATATAAAATTTATTTCTTGACACAGATTCCCTAACAGGGGTAACCTGTTGCACAGTGAAAGTTTATTTGCTTTTCTTATGACCAAGGAGTATTGTTTCCCTTCTGGGAACTTCTGTGGAAATCTGTACAAAACTTGCAGCTGTCAGAATGTCAGGCTGTTTGTTGGTCTCGTACTTAGATTAATTTCAGTAGTGACGTGTCCCTTAGCGATGTGACTGAAAAAAATGTGACTTTGAGGCTGAGAGAACTGAGTGTACTTGCCTCTGTGATGCCTCTGTGCAGATCGGTTTGCTTCCGCTAGTCAGTGTAGCCTTTCACTGTCATTCCTGTATTGGCTTATGCTTGAACTAATAAGAATCCTTCAAAAAAGGAAAAAATTCCATTATGCTGCTTCTCCTAGTTAAGAATGTAGGTTTTTTTTACACTGCTTACTTGGAGATCAGTATGTGCCATAAGCGTTTGCTTTTATGTTTTCATTCCACTAAGCTTTTATGGCTGTCTTTCTGGAAAATGTCAATTACAAAGGCTGAGCACTTACCAGTTAAGCTCTACCAACAAATCTTCATATGCAGTGTTTGGTCTGCCAAACATGTCATGCTGCTATCATATGCAATAAAGACTAATAAAATATGCATGCTTGGTTATGAATGTGCTTGCTTAATGACTTACTACAGAATTTGTTGTACAGTATGAAACTTTATAGATCAATCCTCTGTCAGATTTTTATTTTTGTAATGGGGTAGTTCTATAGTACTTGAAGGCTTTGTATCTTGTTAAGATTTGTAACTCAATTTGTGGTGCAGAATATTCCTGAAGTTTTCCTTGCTGGTATCAGGAGTTTATTCTTAGCTCCTAAGTATATCAGATATTGGACACAGGTCTAAGGAAATGTGCAGACCTGTAGTAGTCTCAAAGACTGAAGGAATTATCTTGGTGCTCCAGTTGAATGTCATGGATTTAAAAAAAAAAAATAAATCTTGTCAACAAATGTATCAACCAAGACACTATGATGGGGTTTCGTAGTCAGGGCCTGAAAAGAATCAGTATTTTTCTACTGAGCATTTTCTACATCAAACTTTCTGACAAGTCTTCTTTGTGCAATTAGACAAATAAACATCTACATTGTTGCTGTCTTAGTTCTCTGTGCTTGTGTCACCTAAGAGGGGACATTTTAACCTGACTCTTAAATATCCAAATGCGTGCTTGCTGAAAGATGATTCCCCCTCTCCCCCCACTTTGTTCCTTATGGAGCACTCCGCTTGGCTAATTCATAGCTAGCTACAACTTGTTGCTATGCAGTAGCTGACTCGTGTCTGGGTGCTTTTATGCATACTTTACTGGTGGTCCCAGGTCTTGCACAGGATGTAGAGATGGAGGAAGCAACACCTGCTGAAGCATGGTCTATTTGGTGCTCAAATGGAAGGAACTCATAAGTTGAATTATACTCTTCTAAGCACTTTTTTCAGCAACCTTTACTGAAACTGAATAACTTAAATAATGCACTCTAAAATATTGTTAGCATTTTTAAAAGTCATATCTTGATCTAAATTAACTTAAACATACTAGTTCTGGAGGTAATTCTGGGTAGGGCTGAATCCTCCTTTCTGAGCTCTCCCCAAGTGTTGAACACTTCATTGTGACAGTGGATGACTTCTCTGTGTTTAAGGACTGCCTGCCAGTGCAGATGTAGCAGTTAGTTTATTCTGGGAGTCCCTGTAATACGAAAAACCAGAAGAGAGTCAGCCCTTCACTGAACTTTGTGATGGTCTTGAGATAAATGTGCTTTCATTCATAGTAAAACTGAATTTAGTTTAATAGGTTACACTTAGCAGTCTAGAACTGGACTTTTAATATTATTCGAGGGGAATGTTTTTAGACTCCAAAAAAATTCTTCAAGAGTATGTGTGGGCTTTGTTTTGACTTCTTTTTTTTTTCCTCAGATTTTTGAAGCTGTTTATGCAAGTTCTTGTTCATGCTTAGTGTTTCATGAAGGACAACAGCAGGTTCTGGACGCTAAGAGATTTTTATTCACTTTATCACCTATAATGCTTGCAACAAAAATAGTACATCAGAGTTCAGAAGAGCTCTTCTTGTGTGTGTAGGGATGTTCCCCTTCTTTTTCTCAATCTGTGGAGAGGGCTTGAACACTGATACTGGCTCTCCTGAAGATTTAGGATTTTGTAGGCTCAGATCCTTTATCTCCAGAACTCTACAGCTGGCCAGAACTGTGTTGCTCCCAGTCACTGCTCTTCAGTGTTTGTACTTCTTATTCTTAGGAAAGTCACAGAAGTGAATATCTCTTGGCTACTCTTTAAGTGAAAAAAGGCCAGGTGTTTTCCTAGTCTGATGCCATCTGCTTGTTTTTGGCAAAAGCTGTCATTCTGAGACACTGCATCTCTAAAATCTTGCATTTTTATTTAGTTGAAGCACTTCTCTTTACTTTCTTGGCTCCATTCCTTGGCTGGCTGTGTGCTCATCTTGTGGTCACTGGGGAGGAGCTGCTACAGGGTGAAGGGTTTTTCACATGCTTATTTTGCTGGACTCCCCAGCTCTTACTGATGCTGTTGGTGCCTCCCATTCTGAGAAATGAACAGAGAAAGACCACAGCTTAATGTAAAATGTGCAACTATAGCCTTTTAGTTAGACTGTTTTATATGCTGAAAAGTTGCTGTGCATGAATGTAGAAGTCAATGTGAGTCCACTTCTGAACTCGTGCCTGAGATCCAATCAATTAGTTGCTGCCTTGAAGAGCACTTGGGAAACCATTTTTCTTTGTCCTGTATCTTCTCAAAAATCATCCCTTTTTAACTTGGCTAACAAATCAGAGAACGGTGTCTCTACAGGTAGTGAGGGCAGCAAACAGTAAAAATGGCCATACTCTGACAAAAGGGAACTTAACTGCTGAATTAGGCTTTTTGCACGGGCGCACTACTGGGAGCTCACACCAGCACTGTGTTTACTTCTTGCACATGTGTTAAGCAAAATGCCTTTGCAGTGAAGTCTTATAAGAATATGCTAAGAAATTATCAATATAATCTCTTATCAAACTGTGCAGGACTTGGAATTCATTTTAAAACAAGTCTCATGTCTGACAGAGGAAAAACTATAGAAATATGAGCATTGGTGTTGTATCTGTTCTGATCTTAAATCCCAGTGTTTTCCTGGCAGGGTCGGGATGCCCTGGAATGGGTGATCAGCAAACTAAACACAGAATTGGAGGAGCTGAAGTCAACACGTGAGGGCATGAAACCAGCCATGGCAGCAGCATCGGCAGAAAAATAAAACCAAAAGTACCACGTAACTGACAGAAAAGGTTTATTCTGCAGACTGCTTTGTAGATCTCCCTTCCAGAGCTGATCTACATATGTTTTATATAAGAACATTGAATCAGTGGAAAGTAACTTCATCTCTCATCTCCACAGCAGCTTCTCTTGCCTACTGAAGATGGAAATTGACCTCCTGCAGATGCTCTTTTCATTTAAACAATTTATTTTTAACACTGGAAACAGAACAGCACATTTCAAACTGCCTAAATGTGCCTTGTATAACCAAGATAGAGAGTATGTTATATTTACACCATCTCAGTGTTTCATACTCAAACTTGAAAAGAAGGCATGTGTGGTATTAATGGTTTTCTGTGTGAATATTTGTTCTGTGGAAGGCTGGTAGGTACTAAAGCACTGTATTTTGTTTGTTTTGTAATATGATAGTGTTTTATAACCATTTAAAGGGAACTACATGAGTCAGAACTGGAGAATCAGAAATCTTATCTAGAGATCATCCCAGAAAACTAAGACATGCTGTACTGACTTTTCCTATATTGTTTAAATGTGCTGCCTGAACAAGACACACAGATACTTTACCTCTTAGATGTTTGTATCCAAACAAAGATAAATTTTCTATTGATGTTAATAGACTGAATCACTTTTTGATGGGGAGAAGGGTATAATTTATTTTCGTATTTATTAACTTGCCCTAGTTCCTCCCCTCCCTGTGAGGAGAGGAATAGTAATTCCTGGAAGGTGCTGGAAAATACTTCTCTTATTTATCTCTAAGAAGGGTACTTGTAAACTGCTTGAATGAAGGTGCTGTACTGTTCTGGTAGTCCTTGCTCTTCACATCTTAACTGAGGGAGAGACTGAGGCAATAAACAGAAGAGCTGAAATCAGAAATAAGTGGGAAATTTGAAACCCAAAGGGAAGGATTTTTCTGAACATGTACTTTTCATGCCCTGCATGGAGAAAACAAGACTACAAGACATACAAGTGGACTCTCCTTCTTAAGTGTGTTCTACTAACTACTGACTACCAGCATAACTGAATTTTTTCAACACTTTTCCACATTAGTACAAAATGATCTTAGGATCATTTTAAATGCTTCTCTTTATCTAGAAAAATACTGCAGTAGCTGCAGAAATTGCTTCCTATAAAACATGCATAAATATATATATATATATAGATAACAGTTCTAGCCTTGTTAGATGTTCCCAACATTTTCATATGTGGTCCAGGAATAGTGTATTTTGCTTAGACAGCCTTTTGTTTGGGCATTTGAAGTTATTTTTTGGTGTGCATAGAAAGTGGAATAAATGTCGCAAGGATGTTTGCTTGTTCAAATGACAAACTTGTGTTTCAGATGCTGTTAAAGTGCATGAGCAACTTCTAAAAAACTAGAAGGGTAAAATGTTGGTTGCTGTTTTGGTCTGGTAATTTTAAAGTGTCTGTAGCTTAAGGGACATTTCAGCATTCGTATTCTGTTTAGTTTTGAAAAGAAACATTAATTTGGGTGTAACTATAGTATAGCAAAATTACCTGATCCTAATGAATAAACTTAATTTAAAAATACATGTATAGTTGAAAGTGATTAAATTAGTAGCTAATATTGACATTTCTCTTTTTGTATGAACCTAAAGTCTTTTTTGTTTTGGAGCAGAAAGGTAGAGTTTTGTAGCAGCTCCTTTCTGGAAGATACACTGGATAGCTTTGGTGCAGGTCAGTTGTGCTCAGAGGAGTGATGCCACTTCCTGGATACAGAATGCAGAAGGTGTTCTAGTTCCTGGTGGCCTGCTAGGAAGAGGAGTGCAGCTGTGGCAGAGCTCTGCAAATGAAAGGAGATGAGTAAGTGTATGTGCATGTGGAAACCTGTACTACAGCATTTTCACATGTGCCTGTGGGTGATGGTGACAGCATAACTGTTGGGAGGGTACAAAAGTCTTCGGAGAGGTTTATGTATTGCTTTAGTTTGGAAGAAGAATTGTCTAAAGGTGCTTCTTGCATCAGATTTGAAATAATTGTATAGTGTTGTCTTGAAGCTGACTGGCTTGTGCATAGCACCTTCCAGCACTAGCTGGCATCCTGGAAAAGTCACCACAGGCTCCTATGTTCTGTCTAGGACCAAACTCCTCTGCTGCACCTTAGGGGTAGCACCAATTATGCATCAGTTTTCTGGATTACTTTTTTTGCATTTTGCTTCCTTCTTCCAGAAACAAATCCTTGTCTGCTTGTGTTGCAGCATCTCCTTTTTGCTTCATTTCCCGCTGCTTTTGGGCTGCTTCCTCTCCACGTTTCATGCTACTTGGGAACTGTACAGCTAGGTGTTTGGTTTTCCAGTCTGTCTGCTGTGGATTCCACTTGCCATGGGTCAGCACCTTGCCTGCTTGTGCTCAGTCCCCTTCCACTTTTCTCTAGGTTAAATGGGAGTGGAGAAGCTTTGAGTAGGAAAAAGACTTAATTTCTTCCAGAGGCCAGTTCCATCACCCAGCTGTCCCCTCTGCTGCCAGACAGTGCTGCTGCTTCTCACCTTGTGTTTGGGGTCGGTGACACTCCTGTGTCTCTGGCCATATTCATCTTCCCATGGTTGCTCATTTTGCACATGTGCAAAGAGGCCCCTGCAGGCAGTGATCACACTGGGATCAGGCAGGCACCTCTGTTTAGCAGATGAACTGAATCTTAATTTCCCAAAAGCTTTCCTGGACACTCATTCTTTGCTTTCTGCCCATCCGGTTTGCACACAGGGCTCCCACCCTTCTAATTCCTTGATCGTGTGAGTCTTCTCCATGTGATTTGATGAGATCTGTAGCTTTATGTTTTTTGAAACGCTCCGTTTCCCACCCGAGTTCTGTCACTGTTATAGTCTGAGTTGACCCTTGGGGCAAACACCCTCCCTCCCCCACCTTTGGAATTATTTAGCTTGGTCCTTACCTAGGGAAATTCCCCCCAACTTTTCTGTTATTTCCTGGAAATGCCTAAAAATTATTTATGAAGTCAGTTTTATGTCACGTGCATTGACTGAAGTGTCTGTCAGAGACAGAAGGCTGCATGTGAGGGAAAGTGCAGGCTGCTTGTGGGAGGTTGGGGGTGGTGGTGGAGCTTTTTGCATTGGTGCAGAAACAGCCAGGTACCTAGCAGGAAGAAAATTTGCAAAGCAGAGAAGGTGTTAAGTCAACACTCGTTACCTTGGAAGGTTCCTGAATTCTGGGAACTAAGCAGAAGCAAGCTCAGCACTTGTACCTGCGTTGATTAATGGGCAGCAAGTGCCATTTTGAGTAAGAATTCTGCACTTTGAGAGTTGAAAATAGAGTTAAAAGTGGAGCTCTGTGTGTTGGGGGAAGGAGGTTGTTTGCTGCTGTTGTTCAGGCTACGGAGGCAGTTCAGTGTTTCTCAGCCATCAGGTTGCAATTCAAGGGAAAAGAAGTGGGGAGTTGGGGGTGTGTGGGGGAGGTAGTTTGATTTTAGGAAGTTAGTGCCAGCATATCAGGTCTCCAGGTTGGCTAGAAGCGTGGCTGCTCCTACCTTGCCCAGTAACAAAGGAGGCACCCATCTGCAGTGGAAGGAAGACTCTGGGGATGGCTGGTTCCTGACTGCAGGGGAAATGGTGAGGGAAGAGGGCAGCGGTGGTTCCCAGAGGGTGGCAAACCAGGCATGTCAGCTTTTGGCCCTGAAGGATTTGAAGATGTTGAAGGTACTGAACTTGAGGCAAACTGGTTTTCAGACAACGTCTGTTTTCCATGCTAGCGCAGACAGGCTCATGTTGACAGGCATTTGCAGACAGGCATTCACTTGAAAAAGTGAAATCAAATGGAGCAACAAAAGGCATTCACTTGAAAAAGTGAAATCAAATGGTCTTGTGTGTAATCAGTTTTGTGTGGACTATTTCCCTTTTTTGCTCCTGGCTTGCCCTCGTGCCAGTGTGAGTCCCTCAGGCTTTTTAGTTCTTTTCCCCAGCAGGTCAGCAGGCATGACAGGGTGAAAGGGTCATATTTTTTTGGAAAATGGGCAATCCTTGTGCATGTTGCAGTATTATTGAAAGACTTGCCTAATGCAAGTAAAAGCACTGACCTGCAGCACTTAGCATGTATCAGGAATTGATGTGTAGCACCCACCAGGCATTGATGTATGTGATGATGTAATAAAGTCGCACATGTGGAGCAGTGGGTAACACTTTTCCTATTCTTACATCTTCCTAGATTGTAAGCTGTGAAGGGCAGGACTCTAAAGTGTCTATGTACACTGTGGTGCTATCTTAAATAAATGACGTCCTCAGTTTAAAAAACACTGGGGTGTAACTGCTGAAATATAAAATGTGCTGTTCATTCATGTTATTCTGTGCTAGGAAGTGGTAGGACCCAGTGCCAGGCTCCCTGGAACGTGCTGCAAGATGCATATCCTATTGGGTCAAAAGCTCTGCAGGGGTCCCCTGTGTCTGAACTGGTAACTCAGTGTGGGTCTGACAGCTGCTTTGTTTTGGAGTAGAACAGGAAAGCAAAATCTAAAATGATTAGCCTTGACTTGTAAATAAGACTTTATATGTCTAATAAACTGTCTTCTTACTGCCCCAGCACTACTTTTCACTGGTAAGAATCATGCAGGTTAGGGGCTGGCCTTTTAATCACAGCTCCAGGAGGCAGGTCATGCTTTCACTATGCATTTATTAAATGAAAAGGCATTTTTGTGGAGCACAAGCCCTGTCTTCCTAATGTTTCCACAGCTAAGTTGATTAAGGTATGATTCTTATTTTATTGGAAAGCCCCTGCAAGTATAAAGTCATCAGAACAGGCTCCTAATTTGAGGCCCTACTGGTAACAGTACTTCCTCTTCTTTCTGTCTGATAATTTTGTTTCTAACCTAGTTAAAACCTGCAGCAGCTGAAGTCCAGGGCTTTAACTAAGGTTCAGAGCTCTAACTGACCAAATGTGGACCATGACCTTACCAGCTGCACTGTGTAAGAAACAATGCTCACCATGGTTACGGTTAGCTGGAGAAAGTGAGAGCAATGCAATGCCA